GCAACATGATCAACTGGCGGGCAAGGGGCGACTCGGGCAAGCGGTGTGCCAAGAATTTATAAATACAAAGGCAAGGCAAATCAAGCAACCAAAAAGTTGTAGCATAACTTCAGGCGTCGCCAGTCTGCAGGCAGGCAGCAAAAAGCAGACGTCAAGTTGACTGCCTTGTTGTTGTTCTTGTTGTTGCAAATTTACTTTTGGTGTTTGCGAGAGCCCAATATAGTTGGGTCAGGTATACCTTGCTTATACCTTGCTTACAGCTGGTATAAGTCGTGGTAAACAGGATTACATGAAAGGGACCCGACACCATGCGATATTGATATGGGTTCTAATCCTTATATACATATATATCTTAGGCCTGCATATTTCACCTGATTTAAATGGATAACAAAGTGATTTACACTGCTTCGGGCAATCGTGAAACAACCCAGCTACACTGTCTGATTTTGTGGCACTTTCAGCACTTGGTTTCTGCCTCAATTTCCTGTTCAAAGTACACAGCGAAAACCTAATTACCTCGCCGAGCACCGAACACAATACGCCAGCAATTGAAGGCAACAACTTTTGGTGTTTGCTTTCTATCATTACTACGAGCAATTGTTGTTGTCGTGTCTGGTTGGCTGGTAGAGTAAACTTCCGTTGGCAGTTCCTGCCATTGAGGCGCAGACGCCTACATAGGCACCGACTCGGTACGGCACGGCTCGCCTCGACTCCCCACACCTCACCTTGCTTCGCCTTGCCACGACTCAGTTAGTGTCTATCATTTTTATGGCTATTTAAAGAGCCATAAACAAAGACGCGTGTGTGGTTTTATGTGACTCTGTGTCCATATATATCTATGTATGTGTGTATATACATATACATGCATATGTCTGTGTGTCTTTGAAATTGCCTTGATATTAAATTGAGTTTTATGTGTGATTTCCGCTCTTAACACTTTGTTGACAATGAATTTTATGGTCGGTTTGTAAAATGTTTTAAAAATAACTGACATATTTACTCAATCTCTCACTCTCGCTCTCTCTCTCTCTCTTTCCCTCTCTTGGCAGACGGAACAATTCGCTGTACTCTGGATACTCTTCACCATCATTGTGCTAGGCAATTCGGCGGTTTTGTTCGTGATGTTCATCAACAAGAATCGCAAATCGCGCATGAACTACTTCATCAAGCAGCTGGCATTGGCAGGTGAGTACATAGAGCGCGCGATTTCAGCTGCCAAGAATATAATTAATACATAAATAAATCAAATTCAATCCACATTTGATATATATAAAGATCTGTGCGTTGGGCTGCTCAATGTGCTGACTGATATTATTTGGCGCATCACCATCTCGTGGCGTGCCGGAAATGTGGCCTGTAAGGTCATCCGCTTCTCGCAGGTGTGCGTCACCTATTCCTCCACTTATGTGCTCGTGGCCATGAGCATTGACAGATACGATGCAATAACACATCCCATGAACTTTTCAAAGTCGTGTAAGTTCTCGTTCCCAGAAACTTTTCTAATTGGAAAATCTTTTGGCAGTTGGGCCTAACGCAAAACATGTGTGTCTTACCTTTGCAGGGAAACGCGCTCGTCACCTGGTAGCAGGCGCTTGGGTTGTCTCCGCGCTCTTCTCCCTGCCCATCCTGGTGCTCTATGAGGAGAAGCTCATACAGGGCCATCCGCAGTGCTGGATCGAGCTGGGCTCGCCAATGGCCTGGCAGATTTATATGTGTCTGGTGTCGGCCACGCTGTTTGCTGTGCCCGCCCTGATAATCTCCGCCTGCTATGCGATTATTGTGAAGACCATATGGGCCAAAGGCTCTATCTTCGTGCCGACAGGTAGGTAGACTAGCTAATCCCTGTGCTGTGCTCCCTCTTGCTCATGCGTTCGCCTTTGGCTAGACCGTGCAGGTTTCGGTGGGGCGGCAACGCGACGCGCCAGCTCCCGGGGCATCATACCACGGGCCAAGGTCAAGACCGTGAAGATGACGCTGACGATTGTGTTTGTATTCATCATCTGCTGGTCGCCGTACATAATATTCGATCTGCTGCAAGTCTTTGGCCAGATACCGCACTCGCAGACCAACATTGCCATCGCCACATTCATTCAGAGTCTCGCACCGCTCAATTCGGCGGCGAATCCACTTATCTACTGCCTGTTCTCCTCGCAGGTATTCCGCACGCTCAGGTAAGTGGCAGCACGGCCCCAATCAATCGCCCCTATTCAATGCCCCGCCCATCCTTTAGCCGCTTTCCGCCCTTCAAGTGGCTGACCTGCTGCTGCAAATCGTATCGCAACAACTCGCAGCAGAACCGCTGCCACACGGTGGGCCGTCGCCTGCACAACAGCTGTGATTCCATGCGCACCCTGACCACATCTCTGACGGTCTCCAGACGCTCCACCAACAAGGCGAACGCCCGGGTCATCATCTGCGAGCGGCCCAACAAGGTAATCACTGTGGCTGCCATGTCGGAGGTATGATAGCTGGCGCACTCGACCCGCAGGCGTTCAACGTTTGCGGTCCGTGGGCCGACGTCCTTCAGCGATGCGGAGTTCCTTTAAGTGAGCTGAACGGCCGCCCCGCCGCGCCCCCAATTAGCAGGCTCTACGAGGCTTAGACAATAAGTGCGATAGTTGTGTATGCATAGCGCGAGCCCAAATCGAATATCGAATACGCAGACACTTGTATATATACACTAATATATATAAGTAGATGTATGTCTATGTGTGCTACGAATTCAGTGCGTGTATTTCCCATTGCAATTTATCTATTAAGTATTTATGCAGCTAGCCCGTAACCATTACCGTACCGTAATTTTAAACTCTATTTTAACTGCATTAAGGTTTGTGGCATCACAAAACGTTTGGGCATGTTTTTTTTTCTATAATTTATACGAAAAGTTCTCTCGTTTTCGCCCAAGACCAAGTGGTGTTATTTTATTGTAGAGCAAGTAAATAAAAACACTCCTACTCGTATTCTATTTATCAGACTGATGTTTTTTATTTACACGAAATTAAGTAATTGCATTTCTTTTCTGTCCAACTAGCCGCTAAGCCAATTAAGTATTTACATATATACAAATACATATTACTATACTCTATATTTATATACATATATATAATCGCTATCTAATTGTCTCTCTATGTACCAATCTTGAATCTGTAAATATACTTAAATATTCTATAGAACTTAAGCGTGCACCACTTGTCCAAGCATTGAAAACCAAAATCTTTAGACACTTAATAAAAACTTCAGAATTAATAGAGCATAACGTTTTAGTCAATTTGGTCTAAGCTAATACTTATTTAATAATTATGTGTATCAACTGGCAGAGCATAAAGAATAAAGGCCAATATATGTACAATAAAAGAATACAAAACGAAATTGAGAAATCTGCGGGCTCGCATTTTAATTCATTTTGGCATGCGCCACAAATTTCATTCTTAGGTCTCCATGCAACAGAGCACAATGGGTCCAAGGACGACGCGACAAGGACCAATGGCAGAGCAAAGAGAACTGGCTGGGACAGTTGGGACAGCTGAGGACATGACGGGACAGCTCTCGTTCTCACTCTCCCCCTCACACTGCCTCTCTTAGTTCATTTATAATTGTGGTAATGTGGGCAGCTCTTGACGTCAATGGCCAAAAGTCAACGTGAACACAATAAATTAGCCATATGCCTGCATCGAATATGAAAACATATTTTATTATGCTCCGATTGCGTAAATGGCACTAACTTTATTTCACTTCGTGTATATAAATAGCTGCAATGACATAATCGCGACCATCGAAACTGACTAATTAATGCCGTTAATATAGCCAGTTGCCAAATTACGAGCATCAAGTGCAGTCCGCTTTCATTTTCCAATACGCTTCATTGGTAACGCGGCTAGGCGTAAACAGTTTGCAATGAGGCTTTCATAATTTACTTACCAACTTTTAATTGAAATACCATTAGAGCGACAGTCCGCTGGAGGAAGGCAAAGCGAAGAGAAATAAACGGTACAGCAAAAGAAATAAAACTTTACAACTGGGCAAACTGCATTAATTATAAATGTGTTGGAGATATATAGATAACTTGTATTAACTGTCATAGATCAGAGTATAATAATGAATGAATGAATAAATGTGATAATGTTGTAAATGTTGATTACACTCTGCCTGTCTGCCTGGCTCTCCCTCTGACTCTTTGTCTACAGAAAATCGTTTAAGTTGTGCATATGTATACAGCAGAGGTATTGGTATTTATATTTGAATAAAACGAAGCTATGTAGAATGCTTGCAGCAGCAGAGACTGCTCCCATTCGTCACTTAAATCTCAACTGCAACGATGTCTACCTGGCGTCAACATTTGAGCGCAATTTAGTCTCTCTATATAAAGGGCAGCTGCTGCGGCCCATCTTCAGTCGCCTGGTGAGAGCCAGTCGTGCAGTGCAGTGAATTGAAGTGAAGTGAAGTGTGTGATCGTTCAGCTAAGCATTAAAGACTTGGAGGGAATACTTATTCTTGGAGGAAATACTTAGAGAAAATACTTAGAAGCAATACTTAAAGCAAATACTTGGATGGAATACATAGAAGAAATACTTGAAGAGAAGACTTAGAAGAGAAACTTTAGGACTTAAGTACTTGGAGGAAATACTTAGAAGTATATACCGTGATATTAACATTAATATGTGTGCATTTACGTAAACATAAGTCTCTAGTACTTAAAATACTTTTCTTGCAAGTTTAGGAGTTAGGAGGACATGGGTAGATTATCACATCAAACGAAAATCTATAAAATTAACATAAAATTTTATTTAAAATTTTGACACTCTAACCTTTATGACATAAAATTGACGATGGGTATTGATTTTTGACTCCTTCTGCCTGTTTCATGCTTTTAACATTTGCTAACTTTATTGAGTGATTGAAAAGCGCAAGATTAAGAGCTGCCAATATTTCAATAAGAATAATCAGTTCGGTAATCTTAAGCCATTCGCTTTACAGACGAATACCCTTAATTTCCGAAATACCCCAGAAATGACATGACACATTTAGGCTTTTCCTTCAAAATCATCGAACTCTAACACATAAAAACAAACAATTTCGAAATTATACAAACAGTGTTGTTGAATCCATCCGTTCGCACTCTTACGTCGCTTGTGTAATAGTCAAAATCACAGTAAAGTACCATATTTTTAGAACTCGTCCCATAAATTTATGTGCAGCTCGTGCTTTCCCCTCGAGAGCCATGTTCCCCAACTATTGCTTTGCCAAGGTGCCCAACGACTATGGCTACGATCTGTTGTACATGCCAAAGAACGCCTACAATGGTAATCGCCAGCGCGTCGACTCGCGTCCGTTGCGACATCGCGGCAAGGTCACGGACGATGGGTTCCTTGCGCAGCAGGCTCTGCAGGACAGGCACAATGAGAGGCTGCGCAGGCTGCACGTCCTGAAGCCTCAGCCACGATCAGCCGGTCGAAGCGTGGAATTTCGGCTGCCTCCAATGGATCAGCAGCTGCCCAGAGACAGGGCGCATGCTGGCAGCATTGAGATAGATGATCGGGAGTACGGTAAAAGGCAGCAGCAGGGTCCTCCTCAGCCACAGGGTGCTCCCCCCGCAAGGAACTTGCCCGACCTGAGTCGAGGTCCGTCCGAGACTAGCTCCGACTTCTTCAACATCCTCTACGATAATGTGCTTAATGCGGTGCACTCCGCCGTCGAGCATATGGTGACCAAGCACTTTGCTCACATCGTTACCAGAATGGACGAGATTGCCTCAGATCTAACGCAGCAAGAGACGCTAATGAAGCAGCACAACAACGATGTAATGGGGAGTAAGTGAGCGTGAGTTTATTAGAGCACTAGAAATTGATGATCATTGACCGAGCCCCCAGAAATTGTTGAGCAGAATGAGTCAAGCCTCAACCAGTTCAAGTTTGTTGCCCAGATGCTCATCGACAATCAGACGTTGTTCTATCGCGCGCTCAACAACCAGCGCCAGTCGAAGCGAAAACTATGCACAGATGACCTGACGGACGAGAGCAAATGTTACAGTGTGGAGTGTGCTCAGCGCCTGTTGGACGAGTACGATCAGAGGGAGGAGTCCGACACGGCTGTGCAAAGGCCGAAGGCAAGTCCTTCGCAAGATAGACCACAGCATCAGCTATGGGAACAACAAGACTTACGACCTCTATTCCAGCAGTCCACATGCAAGAATTGCAGCCACAAGTCCTCGAGGTCTGGCAACTCCAGCTGCTCGAGACCAATCGCTGTGCAGCGCACGGGCAAAGGCATTTCGACCACCAGCATGCCCGACTTGCATCGCTCGCCGCTATTTCCCTCGTCCAGGACTCTCAGCTGCAAGAGCAGCAAGCATTCCAGCCAGCGTTTAGTCACGCCCACTATGTGGACGCCGTTAGGCACTGGGCCACGTGGCAGCCAGGCGTCGCCGTCGAGCGCAACTGGATCGAGTCGCAAGTGCCGCTGCCAGGTCAACCCATCCGCGCCAGTCACGCAGGCTACCAGCTCAGTTGGCTCGAAACGAAAGCTACGTAGCTACGGCAAATCACTGCCAAGTCTGGATGATGAAAGATCCCAGAAATAGTCAATCCTTAATCTTTGATTTGGGCCTGAGCGCCAACCCGCGATAGCTGCCAACTGTGTTCCATGGCATTTTAAACTCCCATGCACACAGTTGACAGCCATACTTGGTTGGCACAGTGCCTAGATTATGTACACCAAATTCTACAGATTTTACAAATTTAATGTAGTTAAAGTTTTTACAATATTTAAGTAAATTATTAAAGAACAAGTAGTTCAGACTGCTCGACTAGCAGATACCCTGAACCCAGCCAAAAACAGATTCCCATTGTTCCAATTCATAGGAAATACACGACTATTCTTAATCGCTTTTATGGTTTTCGAGAATGGTGCGTACAAAAAGTGAGACATGCTGGTGGATTGACGTAATTATAACGACACAACTCAGCTGAAATCTCACTTTCACTGGGTTTAGGGTATAACATATATTTGAATACATGAACAAATAATTCATACATAATAATAAAGAGGTAAATTTGGATATATAATAATTTGAAATAGCTCGTTAGCCAGACCTCATTTAGCTTCTAAGTTGCAGTAATATACATATGTATTATCCATAAAACCAAGATTGTTATAAATCCAACTTTGGGTTAAAATCCATTAAAGTTTGATCTACATATCGGCTATAGATTTAAGGAAGCCTTAATCCGAGCCCTCAACAATAGTTGCTCTATTTTTAAGCTGTACAGACTCATACTGGTTTTTCTTGAGCAGATGGCGCTGCACAAATGGAGCCAGGAGTAGAGGATCCACAGAGCTAACATCCTGACGTCCGAAATATAAGAAAGTAGCCAAGTTTGAGATAATGATATTCAGTAAAGCCCCAGTCATGGTGTACAGCAGGAATGATATATGGTATACGGATGAGCCGCTGTGTGGTTCACTGCAATAAAATATCAAATATAAAATATAAAATATAAAATATAAAATATAAAATATAAAATATAAAATATAAAATATAAAATATAAAACATAAAACATAAAATATAAAATATAAAATATAAAATATAAAATATAAAATATAAAATATAAAATATAAAATATAAAATATAAAATATAAAATATAAAATATAAAATATAAAATATAAAATATAAAATATAAAATATAAAATATAAAATATAAAATATAAAATATAAAATATAAAATATAAAATATAAAATATATAATATATAATATATAGAATATAAAATATAAAATATTCTGACGCTTACAATTCGGCTGTTGAATTCAGATAACGGTTCATGTCGAATTCGTAGGTGCAGTTCTCCACGGAAACTGGCAGCTTCGTATGACGGAAGGAGCCCGTGAGATTGTCTATTTGTGCATTAACCACAATCCAAGCCATGATAGCAAACGATACGATGCTGCTCAGAAACATGCTCTGAAAATATATAAAAATTCAATTGGAAATATTCTTGACTTCAGTTGATGTGATGTGATGAACAAACCTTCTCCCCCACCCAGGGCATCAGCATGCCCACAGTGAAGATGCCCAGCATGGGACCGTACAGGCTGGACTGCAGCGAGGCTGACAGCTGCAACACCATGCCTAGATGCTCAACCACGTAGACCATGAATATGGAACTGATGCCAAAGACGACCACCACCAGACGCATAGTCAGGGCTACAGTGCGCTCCGTCATGGGCCTCTTGATCATTCTCATGCGCGGCTTCACAAAGTCTTCGAGTATGACGGCGGCCAAGGAGTTGAGTAGCGTTGAGAGCGAGCTGAGCGCCGCACTGAACACGGCCGACACAAAGAGACCCGGCAGGCCGGGCACAACGCCCAGCACTCGCATCACCAGAAGTGGCACGAGCTGATCCCGACGTCCAGCCAGCTGCAGACATAGGCAAAGGGCAAACTGTAAGACGGAACTCTGAAGGAGCTACATGTCAAACTCACTCCCGTGGCCATCGGATCGCAGTCATAATACACGGCAAAGCACACCAGACCCACATAGATGCAGCCCATGTAGAGCAGGGTCAAGCCGATGCTAAAGGTGAACAGCGTTTGCTTGATGTGCTTCAGGGAGGGCAGCGACATAAAGCGTTGAATGGTCGCCTGATTGATCGAAGTGTTCTGCAGCTTGAAAAAAGTGCCGCCAACGAAAACCGATAAGACGCTCATGCGCACCGTGGGATCCAGGCTATATCTATATAAAAGCAAAAAGAAACTCACATTCATAAACTCTCTCCGAGAGTTAGATTCACTTTCGCACGACTCACTCAGGCATGTTGAGGCGTCCGCCGTCCAAGTTGCGCTGCCAGAGCACACCGAATCCGCCGACGTCTATGGTGCCCTTGATCATAATGACCACCAGGGAGCCATACATGATCACACTCTGCACGGCGTCTGTCCAGACAACGCCCTTGATGCCGCCGACCGTCGTATAGAAGGTGCAAATGATAATCACAATCGGTGTTATGGTATGCACGCCAATGCCACTGACTTGGTTGAAGGTCAGCGCCGGCACATACACAGCGATGGGCAGCCAAATGATCTGTAAAGCGCAAAAACAACTTGGTTATACATATATTCCAGGAACTGTCTCTCCCTGGGCATTCACTTACCGCCTTGAGCACGAAGAGCGAGGCCCCAAATAAACGCATTCGCCTGCTGAAACGTCTCTCAAAGTACTGAAAGAGTGAGTGTGTATAAGTATCTATGTATGTATTGGTAGCCCAGTCAAGGTAACCAGCTGAAAACAATCTAAATTTAAATACGCCACAGAACAGAGCTTAAGGCTAATGCAAAACTACAAAGGTCACGGCTGTTTGCAACAATATTTATTATTGAATCGAATCAGTTTGGGCTCGGGTCCATCATCTCCTCCAGCTTAAGCTGTGTGGAGGAAATGTGCAGCTCCAGCTGCTTGGTTTCCGCATCATCGCTGGCCACACTCGCGTACGCTCCATACCAATAGCTCTGCAAGCTCCTTGTCGACCAGGCGCACATCCTGCTTGCCAAAATAGAGCGTGGCCAGCAGCGAGCAGAGCAGCGTGCCCACAGAGCCAATCATGGTGTACCACAGGAACGAGAGCTCATGCAGGCTGTGACTCTTGGCCTCGGGAGACGTTCTATAAGCACAAATTGAAATGTTAGGAATATAACATATTTAGGCTGCCGAACGAGAGGCATACGCGCTGGTCGTTGCATTCCAGTTGGAGCGCTGCTCGAAGCAGTAGTCGCACTCCTCCACGGAAACGGCAATGGCCATGGCAATCTGGGCCCGCACAACGATGTAAACTGTGAAGCTGGTGGCTGATGCCCGTTAACAAACTCTGTAATAGAAACATAAATGGGGCCATAATTGGTTAGGTCGTCCACTGGCAGGAGCCGAGTCGAGCCTCTGTGCAAACGAACGGCAGGAGCATGCCAAATGAAAAGGCGCCGAGCAGGGGGCCACAGGTGATGGCAGCCACTGTGGACGATAGCTGCATGACCATGCCCAATTTCTGCACAATGGGCACACTCGCCATTGAGATGAGCCCAAACACGACGACCACGCCTCTCAGCACATTGGCAGTCTGGCGCTCGGTCAGTGGGCGACTGCGATGGGACTCGACAAAGTCCTTCAGCACCACCGCCGACAGTAAATTGAGTGCGGTGGAGAGCGAGCTGAGTGCGGCACTAAACACGCCGGCGACAAACAGACCCACAATGCCGAGCACCATCCCAGCGCTTTGCATCACATACAAGAGTATCACCTGATCCTTGGCACGTGCCAGCTGCAAAAGGGAATGAGAGCTGATAATTAATGGATGTTATGACAGCTTAACCTATACATCTGAAATTATGACAGCTTCACGTACACTTATTAACAATAAAAGTAAATATAAAGGAAGGGTAAGGGGAAAACTCACACCCGTGGTGATGGGATCACAATGGTAGTAGGCGGCAAAGGCGAGCACGCCGAGATAGATACACATGGCCATGACAAGCATGAAGCCTATCAGAGACAATAAATGCGCCTGCTTAACGGCCCGCACGTTGGGCAAGGTCATAAAACGCTGGACTGCCGTTTGGTTAATGCAATTGGCCTGCAGCTTAAAGAAGGCGCTGCCCATAAACAAGGCTAACACGCCCATGCGAGCCGTCGAATTTAGTGTCATGCTGGCGAATGAGAGAAGTGCAATACATTTAAGGAGAAGGCGAGGTTAGTAAAATAAAAACAACTTACTCGGGACCCACCAAGCGCTCGAATTGACGATTGCGTTCCAGCACCACCGTCAAACCACCCAAGTCCGCAGTGCCCTTGACTATGACAAAGCCCATGGCGTCAATCATGACTACTCCTTGTATGACATCTGTCCAAACGACGCCCTTAATGCCGCCCTGGACAATCGGAAAAGTCAGCAATTGAAACGGATTTATATAAATACTCAACTTATTATGCTCGTATAGAGAATGCATGTCAGACTGGTTAGTGGCACGATCAAATGGACACAAATGCCAGAAACTTCAAATAAAGAAAAAGAAGTCAAATATATTGTCATAAAACATATAATATATAAAATATATTATATAAATTATTTAATAATATAATATAATTTAGAATAGCTTAGTGAACGAATAATGTAAATATGATAAATACTTACCTTGGTTCAATGTTAGAGCAGGCACATAAATGCATATCGCCTGCCAAAGTATCTGTAAATATAAAGAAAAAATTATAATAATAATAATAATAATCAGTTGAAACACTCAATCGGAGCACTCACATTCATCAACACGAAGAGGCAGGATCCAACGATACGAATACGTCGATCAAAACGTCTCTCAAAGCACTGCCGAGCAGAGCAAGGATACAACAAAAGGAAGAACAATAATAAAAATAAAATATAACAAAAATAAAAAAATAAAAAAAAATAAAAAAATGAAAAATAAAATATATCTATATAGCAACAAAATAACAATAACAATAATAAGATTTATTAAAAGCAAAAATTAATTTAAATGAAAAACATGATAACATTTAAACAAAATTATTAATTTAATGGGAATTAAAAAACAGTTTTAGGATATAAAAACGACAATTTATTAGCAAGTAGCTTTTATCGTTGTTTATGTTCAAGGCTTCTCTGCAGTAGGATCAGCCTTGCGCCTAAAGAGCTCCTCGAGATCCACAGCCTCATATTGTTTCTTGGGCAGGAAGCGACGCATGCAAGGCGTGACCAGGGCCGGGTCCATTTCAGACACATCCTGCCAGCCGAAGACGAGGCTCGCCAGCAGGGCGACCACAGTGCAAATAAGTCCGCCCAGTGCAGTGTACCAGAAGAACGACAGATGATATATGTTACGATCTGTTGAGGGACTACGAATGGAACAAAATATATATTTTATTAGTCTGGTAACTTCCTCATACTTACCTGTACTCATGCAGAGTGCGCCAGACGGTCGCATTGTCAAAGGCGTAATCACAGCCCGAGACTGAGACTGGCATCTTTGGATATCGGATCTCGCCCTGCATTTGCGCCAGCTGAGCCTTGACGCAGATCCAGCCCAGGACTACAAAGGACACCAGACTGCCGGTCATGACACTCTGGAAAAAGACCTTGCATTAGTTGAGTCCATGCTGAATGCTATTGGGGTAAGACTAACTTTAGCATTCACCCAGGGCAGGCACACGCCCATGGCATAGATCCCCAGCAGCGGCCCCATGGACACAGCCGAGGTGGTGGTGGCCAGCTGCAGCACCATGCCCAGCTTCTCCACCACATTAACCAGACCCATGCAGCTTAGGCCAAAGAAGACCACGATGGCGCGCAGCAGCAAAGCGGTTTGGCGTTCCGTCAACGGCTTCTTGAGCAACGGACGCACCACATCCTGTGAGATCACGCATGCCATCGAGTTGAGTCCCGTGGACAGCGAACTTAACGCGGCGCTAAACACGCCAGCCACAAACAGCCCAGGCAGACCAGGAAACGAGCCCAAGGTGCGCATCATCAGCAGCGAAGGCAACTGATCGCTGGCCTTGGCAAGCTGCAGAAAGGTCATAAAAAAGGCTCTAAGATAAATAGATGAAGTTGCCACCAAAGAGGACTTCTTATAATATAGATAGAAGTATAAACGTTGAAGGGGCGTTATCGACTGCAGCATGCTCATTCACGGGCCGAATGGTGTTAAGCCAGTTTTCAGTTTTGCCACGCCCCCAATGGGCATGCATTATTTTCGTGCAAAGCAAATTGTCAAATTTTCAGTTTATAGGTTTAAAACGGTAGAAGAACACGATTTCGCGACTTTACATGCCCCCAAAGGTAGGGCTTGCTCAAAGGGCATAGATACGTATCTGGCAGCCCTATATCTTTTTACAGAGACGGGCGGCCATATTCAAAAAATGATGTCAACAAATCTAATTCAGACAAATAAAAGCATTATTATCGTCAATATACAAACACTATACAAAAAATGTGTATTTCTTTGATCAAAATGAGAAACATAACAGGGGTCCGTCGAATATGGGCGGCCTTGTAAGGTTGTCTTATGGGTCCGTCGAATACGTAAAATCCATATCTTTTAAGCCTTGACCTCCAAGTTTCAACTGTCTAGTTCTTCAACTACCACAGTTCCTGATATATCAGAATACGAAATACCAGACCCTATTGGGCACATCGAGAAAATCTTAACCCTTTCGGGGGTATATAGGAGTATATTTAAGTCTTTAATAACGGAGAATGGAATGTATTCATACGGCCAGTCGAATGGACGGACCAACGGACAGACGAACGGACAGCAAGACGTACAACAAAGAGAACATTGCATAAAGCCAATATACCAGTTCACTCTCTTAAATGAGTATAATAAATGGTAATTAACAACATATCTATGCAGTTAAGACAAGTACATCCAAGGCTTACCCCGGTGCTAATGGGATCACAATCCTGGTAGACGGCATAGGTGACCAAGCCCATGTAGCTGCAGCAGCTGAGCAGGAATATGAGGAGGACCGTATAGAGGAACATGCACTGCTTGGCATGCTTGTAGCTGGGCAGGGAGAGAAAGCGTTGGATTGACACTTGATTGACATCCGATGATTGTATTTTGTGCAGAGTGCCGCCCACTATCACAGAGACCATAGACAGCCGCACGGTGGGATCCCAGGTCCATCTGTAAATAAACAAGGTGCTCAATGAAATTCGCAATGGAAACCAAATGCAATGATTACTCTGGCGCATTGAAACGTCCGCTGTCCTCATTTCGCTGCAAGACCACGCCCAGGCCGCCCACATCGTAGGTGCCTTTGATGCACACTGCCAGAATGGATCCGTACATGACAAAGCTCTGGATGACATCTGTCCAAATCACCGCCTTGAGGCCGCCCTGAAATTGCGGCACTTTGTATGTGAGCGAATGAATGCCAAGCCAGGCCGTGTTTTAATGAAATCTCACCACACACGTGTAGAAAGTGCAAATAATGCAAACAATGGGCGTGATGACGTGGATGCTCGTGCCAGTCACTAAAATTGTTGAACTTTAGCTTCGAGGCCAGCGACTGAGTGAGAAAACTCACCTTGGTTGTAGGTAATGGCAGGCACATACAGGGCCACAGGCTGCCACAGCAACTGCATGAAACATTGTTCAATATGAGTTCCGATCTATTTAAATGGTGCTTACCATGCCAATGACGAATAGCACAGCTCCGAAGTTTCGAATGCTGCTACCGTAGCGCAGCTTAAAGTACTAGAAATCATATGTTAATTATCTAATGAGCAATACGAAATGCTTATTGATAAAATAAAATAAATGCAGAAATGCAAAAATAAACAAAATGCAGAGACAAACCAAATATTTACAAGATTTTTAGTAACGAGTCGGTGTGCATGATGCATGTTAGTGGCATGCCTAAAAACAGAAAAAAACAGAGCATTTATACAAATATATCACATATAGAACACATTAAAAGATTAGAGTCCAATAAAAGTTGCAGTCAAACACGGCGTATACTTAATCAAAACTTTTATTGCTTAAGTCTTAAGTCGTAGGCACATTTTATGTTATTTAGGCAGACTTTAATGTGGACTCATTAAGCTCCACGCTGGCATATTTGCTCTTATAGAATCGCCGCATGCATGGCGCCAGCAGATCCACGTCCACATCCTCCAGCTCCACACGTCCAAAGACGAGGCTCGACAGCAGGCCAGCCAGGATGCCCACAAGAGATGAGAAAAGAGTGTAGTTCATGAAGGATGTATAGTAGATATGCTGGAAAAAGCTGAGCGAACTTTTTTAAAGAAAGAAATTACTAATTGAACAACCGAGTGCAGCTCAAGCCGTAACTCACGCCGGCTCCGTGGCAGTCAATGTGGCATTTGCGAAAGTCACGCCGGGCGCGTCGTACTCGTAGGTGCAGCCGTCGACGCTAACCGGCTTCATCTCGTAGTGCAGCTCGCCTGAGAGGGCGGCCAGCTGGGCGTTGATGCACAGCCAGCTCATGAAGACGAAGGAGCACAGGGCGCCAGTCAGAGCACTCTGCAAGGCCAGTTATACAAGCTATGAATGTAACTTATCCACACATTCCTGAACTGCACGGAATACAAACTTTTGAGTTTAGGCGTGGGCAGAGCATGCCCATCACAAAGAGCGCAAACAGCGGACCCTGCGTCACCGAGCTCAGTATCATGAACAGCTGCATAACATGCGTGCCCATGCGCTCTACGCCGAACACCAGGACGGTGCTCAGGGTGCCAATGGTAACGGTGCAGAGGCGCATCGTGATGGCCGTCTGGCGCTCCGTCAGGGGCCGTTTGCTGAGCGGCTTGATGTAGTCCTCCAGCAAGACGGCGGCCATTGAGTTGAGCGCCGTGGACAGCGAGCTGAGCGAGGCACTGAACACGCCAGCCACAAACATGCCGCACACGCCCGGATATGCGCCCAGCGTGTCCATAACCAGCAGCGGCACCAGCTGATCCTTTGCCTTGGCTAGCTGACAGTCAATCACATTACGCTCAGCATTGCAACAGAAGTACACACAGGTCACCTACCTTCGTAGTCAGCGGATCGCAGTCGTGGTACGTGGCGAACAGCAGCAGGCCATTGTACAAGGTCAGTGACGTTAGGATTATCACTCCGAACCCAAACAGCAATGTGCTCTGCCCCATTGCCCTCACGCTGGGCAGCGACAGCAGACGCTGGGTGATGATCTGATTGCAGCCGATGTTGTACGTCGAATGGGCTGTGTAGCCAATGAACAAGGCGAAGACGGACATGCGCGTCCTCGGATCAAATGTCCATCTATTCGAGAGATTAAAGTACGTAAAAAATATAAATACACCCAAGTAATAGTGCTCTAATAATGACTGCTCGACTAGGAGATCCCCTTACTCCTTCAAGGAATTGAATTATTATTTAAAAGTTTTTGTGTAAATGGACTATCTTCATAAATTGTTTATGGACTGACTTCGTGAAACTTTCAGATCGTGATTATAATATTTGCATCTGCAAAAACACAAGTCTCAAGTATTTAAAATACGCCTTTTACAAATTTAAGGATGAGTGGGTGGATATAGGGGTGGAGGGTGAATTATAATAAAAACCGAAATTCTATAAACTATATATAAATCCACAAAAATGTAGCTAAGGCAGCTGCATGACAAAAGCTGAATGCTACGAGACGCGATTGAAGGTGCATTAATAAAACTTGTGGAAATATTGATCATAGTTTGCTCGTTCAGTAAAAAGCATAGCCCCATGAACGCCTCTGAAACTGTTGGCCAACTCCTCTAGTGAATGTGACAAAAACAAAACTTGAAACTAGAGTAGGGGCAGCTGCATGACAAAAGCTGAATGCTACGAGACTAGATGTAAGGTATATCAATGCCAAAGACTGAACAATATCAATTCCTTGCTCACGAAATAGAAATTATAATCATATGATTCTCAGAAATATAAATGCTCTTAATTTAGGTATTCTAGCGAATTTATGGCAGAAGCTAAATGCGACGTTACAGCATGGCAGAAGCTGAATGATATGACACTCGACTAGCTCTATGTAGGACAGATGGATGGACAGACAGACGGACAGGGCTAAATCGACTCAGCTCGCCACCCTGATCAAGAATATACATATATACTTTATGGGGTCTGCCACGCCTCCTTCTGCCAGTTACATACATTTTAACAAAACCATTATACCCTGATTTCCCATTTTCAATGGGTTCAGGGAATAAAAATATGATATTACATAAAATATATAAAATATTTCAAATTAAATGTGCAACATGTTGATGATCACCTACTCTGGCCATTCGAGGCGTCCCGTTTCCAGATTCCTTTGGATGACCGCGCTCAGGCCGCCCGCATTCAGGGTGCCCTTGATGACAACAATAATTATGGCGCCCACCATAATTATGGTTTGAATAACATCCGTCCAGACGACAGCCTTCAAGCCGCCAACCGTGGTGTAAAATATGCAAATAATACACACCGCCGGCGTAATTACGTGAACATTTACGCCCGTCACTGTGAACGGAAAGCGCAACAATTGAAACAAACTCCAGTCGATCTGATTGAAAACGTACCCTGATTAAAGGCCAGCGCTGGCACATAGATGACGATAGGCAGCCAGATTAGCTAGACGATGATAATTGGTTATTTGTGTCTGTGTCTGTGTATGTGTATTTGTATTTGTGTTGCGTACTTACTGTGGTTATGCTAAAGAGCACCGAGGCAACTACACGAGTTGTTCTGTTGAAGCGCAGCTCGAAGTACTGTAAGCATTTTAGTTGATTTGGTATTTTGGCATCTTTCGATTCGGACAGTCTCAACGTTCACGTTTACAAACACATAATAAAAACGAACACACACACAGCGCAACGCATACATAATCGAATATTACGCATACGCCGTGTAGCCGATATCAGAGATAGCCTGTGAGACACCACCACATAGCCGTCAGCAGGCCATTGCGGACCATTGCTGGCAACAAACAACAATTGGATGTTCAGCACAGCAACGAGTCTCTGTGCTCCTATTTGCAATTTGCTGGCAAACACACATAAATATTTCACTTGACACGACAGCAACAAGGCCCAACAACAATGCTCCGACTCATCAATAGCTTTAACGCACATTTGTTTTCGACACTGGTCAATGTTTTGTTCCACAAAATACCATTGATGTCGTCTACTTTGATTTCAACAGCCGACAATAACTGACACACCCGAGTGATTGCTTATTTAGAAATATACTCGTATATCAACAATTTACTTATAATTCACTTACACATATTACATATTGACATGCGAATTTCGGCACAATTCAACAGAAAAATTTAGAGTGCAACACATATCTATGATATAACATGCTTTCAGATTACTTAGAAGTAGAATAGAAAATCATCTTCAGCAAGCCGAAGTCTCAAGACCTCTGCAAAGTATGAATTCTGTTCAAATGATTTTCCAAGTAGCAATGTGTATGTATTTTTAAAGCATTAATATTTAGTGTAATTAGAGAGCAAGTATGTCTATATATTACAGGTAAACGTATATCAGATAGCGCTAAACTTACCTCGTATGTGGAAGTCAATTGAAGATTGCAGAAAACGGGCAGGAAAATATACCACGAAATCATTCCAGATATGGCCAGGGTAACCAATATGAACGCATATTGAGTACCATACACATAAATCTCAGTTGATGTTCCCAGCAATGATATGCCCGAAACGAAACTACAAAAATAATAGATAAAAATAAAATAGGAATAAATTAATCAGAGAATTGAATATAAAGGCAAATATTAAAAATTCAAAGTCTATAATAATAATTCTATTTAAAAAATAAAATAGGAATATAAATATACAGAGAAAATATATAATTAAATTATAGATCAAATAGTATAAATTCACAGACTTTAATACTTTAAAACAAAATTTATTAAAGTTTTAGCCTTATTTTCTACCCTCTACTCTCTTCATATTCCACATCTCAAGTGGTATAAGCAATTTTCATCCTTTATATTATAGTTGGCAACAGAAGTCCAGTTTCTGGCTTTAATAACGGACAGACAGACATTCCACAAAACCAATAAACTAAATTTAAAATTTTCCTCTCCTTCTATAAATGACGAAAAAAAGACGTTAGAGTGGAAAAGTCAACAATCCTTAATAGTACAAAATATTAAGACCACAAATGAAGATGAAATGGAACGTCTGCTACGGCAATAATATGAAAAACTTTTCAAATCTTTGTCATTTACATGCATACACACATATATCTATATATATAGATATATATATATATACATATATACAAATATATATCACAAAACATAATTCCAATCTGGCGATTAATGTACACAACAAACTTCATTTTAGTACAGCCCCGAGATATGTGCAGTGACCCCGGGCCATGGTCGAGGCATCAGAAAAGTTTCGTACTGCCAAAATACCATTAAAAGTTGATAACAAGTGGCGTTGAAGTACAGTATGCAGATGCAGATACCAAGCCCACTATAATGCGAATTGAATAAGAAACGAAATACTAAATTTCGGAAAATAAAATGTAAAATCATAATGGAACAGCTCGTTCAAATGGGGCTGGCAAGTAAGGAAAAACTGGCGAATAATTGTAATTCAAGGCACGTTGCCAGAATTTGTTGCAGAAAGCAAACGACGGCACATAGCATGAAGGACAACAATAAAAGGCGCCCAAAACAATTGTCGTCGGGGCAAATGACCAAAATCTGGAAAGCAGAAACATGAACAGCAAAAGTATTGGAAGCACTCCATCCAACAAAATAAATGTATACAAGTACATATATACATATATATATATATATTTTTTTTTTTTTTTTTTTTCTGGTTTTGCAGTCATTAATGCGGTGACAATACGCCCAGGACAAAGGCAATGCGCCGTTGAAAGGTGTTTGGCCAAACGTGGTAAACAGAGTGGCCCAAAAAGCGTTGGCCAACACCAAGGTCGGCGTGGCCAAAACAAAAAGTAATTTGGCAAATTATTTGAGTTTGCGGCTGCCGTAAGTTTAAATAACTTCAATCAGGCTTAGTTCGTTTAGCGATGAGTGGCGGCCCGACCAACGCAGCGCGAACTGCCAAATCGTATATTTAGCAAGAAAGTTATGCAAGTTCCCACCACGCCGTATCGAAGAGCATTATCTACATAATCATCAGGCATAATAATTCGGACTCTGACACTCTACTATATTGTATTATATATATATTTTTTTTTGTTTTTATTCATTCGCGCCTCACTTTCCACTCCTCTTTGGGTGCAAAGTTTGAGCAAAATTTCTTTTGTTTGCGCTGACAAACATTTCGCCAGACGACGCGTCTTTGGGCTGGCATTATACAGATTCCGCATACGCACGGTTAGTCGCGGCTACCTTGCAGCAAATCAAGTGAAATTAGGCACATATTTTTGATTGCTTTCCGAGAAAATGCCGAATTTCGTTTGGCTAGGCATTGTGCAAAGACCAATCTGTATAATCAATGTCAGCAAATTTTTGATTACGAACAAACTCTCCGAGACGTCGGTATTTCAATTTATTTATGCAATTTTTGTCAGTCTCTTAATTTATTTTAATTTAATTCTTTTGCTTAATTTTGTATATTTATATGCCTTAAATGTGCATTAAAATTAGAACTAAATAATAGTAGTAGTAGTAGAAATATTAAATTAAAATAAATTGTTATACTGATAAAAATTCCATTAAAATTGTAAATTATTAATTATCATAATTATTAGTATTATCATTAAAAATATTTTATTATTATTATTTTTATAAAAAAAATAAAAAAGTCTATTCAATTCTTATTTTCTTCGTTTATTTTAATTAAATTTAATTGATATTTTTTTATTTTATTTTTTTATTTAATTTTATAATATTTATACATATCAGCTTTAACCTCTTTTAAAAAATACGAAAAGAATATCAAAGAGAAAATAATTATATTTAATATATATATAATTATTACATATAATTATTTTCTCTTTGATATTCTTTTAGTATTTTTTAAAAGAGGTTAAAGCTGATATGTATAAATATTAAAGTAAGCTGCAAAGCAGAGATATATCAAAAGTGAAATACTTTCATGCAAAAGCATTTTGGGATTACACAAATCAAATATGACTTTAAAGTAACTACTTGAGCTCTAATTAAGTAACTATAATTTATTGAATGGCATTTCATTAAATTTTTTATGTTTTTACAACTTATTTAACATGACAATTAACCTCCTAGGTAAATTAATGTTCTTTCCCTATCGGTATTGTATTTAAATAGAATCTGTGACCGAAGCGGACAGACGGACAGACAAAAATAATGGCCAGGTTCGTGTACAATTCAATTTAAGCCAGCACTGCAAAATTGCTTGACCCCAGCCAGCGAGAGCACACAGAGCAATCCCATTAGGCGCTGCACGCTCCAGTCGAGGCAATTAAACAGCCCTCGTATATCCTACGTCATGCCCGAAAGGGGCGGCGCCCTAGACGCATTTACATACTGTTGCTATTTGCTGTAACTCACCTAGCGACCAGGGATAGCGAAACCGGAAGCACTTTCATTTTGCGTCCACCCACCAAGTAATCCAAGGCCTCCGAGCCGCGACGCTCCTCGATGCCGGCGGTGCCGGCGCCATCTTTTTCATCGGTGGGCAGTTGGCCCTTTTCCAGTTTCTTCTTTTTCTCGATGAAGCCAAAGTAGAAGCCAATTACGGCACAGACCACCAGCATGGCTATGAAAACCAAATAATCAACAATGCCAAAATGTTGCAGTGCGCTGCTTAAATCGCTCACGCTGGGCTTCTCCGTCAAGCTGGAAGACGATATTGTTGTTGTTGTTGTTGTTGTTGAAAATGTTGTTGGTATTGTTCCTTCTGTGGTGTCAGTGGTGCCGCTGGTGGTGGTGATGGCAGCGACGGTGCTGATGCTAGAGCTGCCCAAGCCTGATACACTGGTTGTTGCTTTTGCCGTTGTGCTGCTAATTATGGATTGGACTGTCTGAACAATCGCATTGACCACTGTCGGCGGCGTATTAACAGCCTCAACCGCATCCATTATTATTTCCTCCCTCTGAATGGTCGTTGACATAATTCAGTAGACCGCAAGTTGCTTTTATGTGTTTATTTTCATTGACTTCCTGTCGTGTTGCCTTTGCGCACTTTTTGCTTAAATGCGCTCAACTTTGATTACTTTTGTATTGGTTTACAGGCACACACAAACACACACACACACGCTTATACGCTTCGACACTTGTTGCAGCCCTTTTCGATTTTTCATTAAGCTTCTGTGGGAAGCTTGTATATCCTAATGACCAGCACGGATAACTTTGCCACAAGTAAAACTGGATTACTGGCTGAATTGAAAATTGAAAACAAAAACTAGTTAATATAAACTGCATAAATATTGTGAGCTTTTCTTTTCTTCTGTAACTTATTTGTTCTTTATATATTGTCAAAATTTATTTTATAATCCTAAACAAAATTCATGTCTTGAGTACAGTATAGAAACTATTTTTTTATATATAAAATTGTTATTAAATTTGATATATTTCATAGATTGTATATTTAATTTATTTGTATTTGAATATATCTATAAAAAAAAAAAAGTTTTTTAATTGAATGATTGGAAAATTGATTTATTTTAATTTTTATTTACTCTTATTTACTTTTATTTTAATTAGGTAATAGTTTAAATAAACTGCATAAATATAGTACACGTTTTTTTCTGCTGTTAAATATTTGCTCTTTATATATTTTCAAAATTTATTTTCTAATCGTACAAAAATTCCTATCTAGAGTACACTATATATATTTTATATGGGAAACTGTTATTATATTTTGTATATTATACATTAACTTTATTTATAGATATTTGAATATATTTGCAAACAAATAATCGCAAATTTAATTTATTTTTATTTTTATTTACTTTTATTTATTTTTATTTCAATTAGGCAATCATTCGCACATTCACTTTAGTCGACTCTCACTGCAAAATCCTTTTGAAAATCAGGATAAAAACACACGGAGATCACATTGAGCGCTCAAACACAAGCTGCACGCACGAATCGCAGCGAAAAACTGAAATTAGAACTCAAACTGAGCATCGTCCACGGCTTTAGTGATCAGATTTAGCTGATGAAAGATGAGCTCATAATTCATGTAAGTCTTGTCTGTGTGTCGAGGTCTTATATTATATTGGGTAGATAAAAACACACCCCCACTCGCCCATGGACGGACGTGTGGCGGGAAAGGCTCTTTGTGCGCCATTGGATGAGTTCAAGTTATACGAGATAAACTTAGATAAACTGTACTTCTGAATGGCTTTTGTTCAGTTTTTTTCCTATCATCAGGTAGTCGCACGTCAGGTATTATGTTGACATATTTTATAACACCTTGATAACTCCGATTCTTACTGGCCCTTGGCAGGTGCTACTGGTTATGTTTACACTGTACTACATATGTGTATATAATATAAAGATCATATTCAAATATTAGTCAATATCAAAATTTAATTTTATTATATTGTAATTGCATAAAAATAATTCAAATTATAAGAGATTTCTAATAATATTATTATTATATTATTAAATTATGCATTTGTTGTGTTATCCAGTGTAATTGCTCACGTTGCAGTCGCTTGAAAGATTTCCCATTTATTTACACTGCAGAAGTTATAAATGACAATTTGCTTTGTGCGCCCCAAAAGATCATAAACGAGAGGCTGTGCACGCATGGCGTATGCGTGATAATGGCACCCCAACTTGTAAGCGCCTTAAATAAATACATATACAATAGAATGAAGGGAAATAGCTCACACACTTTACATGCTCGAAGAAAGAGCCCAAGTGCAATAGCTAAAATATCAACGAGTCGCTGCCATTGCTATTTACATAGCACTTCATCAGCAATTGCTGCGCTGCTATCACGCGCACTGCACTCAGAGCATTTTTTATTGAGTTCAACTAATGCACATTAATGCGAATAAACAGCATTGATGCACGTCGAGTGGCGTCAATTTATGCTGGAAATAAACCATATAAGAGCCTCTACATGCATCGAGTGCTTATGCTGGCTAATTGCCTATTGAAATCACATGCCAACCCGAAACATTTGGCAGCGACTATTGGAATTCGTTCTGCAACTAAATTCAGTTAGTCGTAATTGCTTGTGGTTTACCTAATTGGTTGTGCAAATTCAATTTAGAAGCCCATCAAGTGTGCTACGAGGCGAATATTTGCAATAATATTTGCAAAGCGAAACATTTGAAGAGAAACATACAATTCTAATCCACATTTACGTGTTGCACATGGCCTTATAGCAAGGCAAGCAGGCAAACAACAAAAGGACCTATTAAGTTTGTTATGAAATTTCATAAATCTGAATCCGCCGAGCCGAGCACATTTACCCTTTAGGTGCCAAGCCACAACAAAAACAAACAGAAATTGATTCACGTAAGAGCCAAAAGGACGCAAAGTGCTGCGCAAAATTAAAATTTAATTTCACTTAATTTGTAAACAAAATTATAATACGAAAAGCAAAAAGCAGAAAACAAGCAAAAAAATAAAAAAAATAATAATAAATGCCTGGCATGGGCCAAAAAAATTAACATAGCAAAAACGCAGAAACTTGACCTCTTTTTTGGGGTCCCTCATATAAATATGAAAATATATATATGAATGTATTTGTGCTCTATATTCATACATATATTTATACATATATATACACTGTCATACATATATTTATACATATATATACACTGTCATACATATATATACACTGTCTTTCCTTTAGCTTTTTAATTTGTCTAGAAATCGCACGAAGTTGAATTTCATAGCGAAAGCTAAAAACAATCAACGGCAGCTTTACTTTAATGCGTGGGCGAAACTCTTCTTCTTCTTCTTCTGGTACTTCTGCTTCGCTTTACCCAGGCGAATGTGCTCTTGTGTATTTGGCAAAAGGATACGGTGGAAGAGTATTTCTATACTTTATGGGCAACATCCGAGTCTTTTGCTATATTGTTTTTGTCACTGACTTGACTTTACCATCAGTTTGCTGTGCTCACTCTTCCTATACCCCGTGCCTTCACAGAGATGGGTTGGGGTATGATTTGAAGTCAAAGTGAAACATTCCATTAATTAATTGTTTGCAATTTATCAGTCAAGCTTGAATATTTTTGTGAGAGCTAACTGCTTGTGAAGGGGATTTAATGAAACACCTTCACTTATATTTGCATTATTAATGATTACATGCTTCTTTTCTCACGGGAATTATCTTGATTATATCTACACATCTGTTTTTTATTTTTAAGTGTGTTACATCGAAACATATATATAGTATATCTTATATCATATAATACTATCCAACATAGCATGCCCGCTAATCCTGCACTCTCTATTTGAACGCTTGAAAGAGTTTGGTTTTTATTTTTTTCGTTTTGTATTGCACACATTTAAGCCAATTTAACGCTTCCGTGTGTTTTTTTGTTTCTTTTTTTTTTTATACTAGCCACGCCCACTCGGTGCACGCTGCTCTTCGCGCTGCCATAAAAACGAAATGTGCTCTGGCAGAGTTTTATTTACTTTTAGCTCGCAACTACAACAAGTGAACAGAAAGTGTGCAAGAACCCCTGATGTGACTTGTTAACTGCACACTGTTGCAGAAAACTGTTCTCCTGTGCTGCAGTTTATGCTGCTGGATAACGGACATAGGTATTATCAAATGGATTAATTAAAATACAGTGAAGTGAAGATATCTGAAGGGTTATTCATAAACGATTCAAGCAAATCAATCACCATTAATACACGATTCAGCAAAGCAACAAAATGACATACTGATGACTTCAATTTATTGCAAATTAATTAGTACATCATTATTGTTATTATATTTTATTATTATATACGAAAATTAAGCACAAACTTTCCTTTTCATGAAACTCTAAAATAGGCTTTAAAAAAAAATTAATAATAAAAGAAATCAAATGAGTTAAACTTAATTAATGAAAATGTTACACTAAAATAACTTAGTTAAAAATCAAAATGAAAAGTATTGTTTTACTATTGGTAGCAGTATTATCAGTAGTATTATATTATATATTATTGCTTTTATTTTTGTATAAATTTTGCAAGTGTTTTGATAAATTTACTTTTGTTATATTATTATGTTAATTAAGTAATTTAATGTCAATAAAACATATAGTATTTAAAATAGAAATGGAACTATCAATTAAACGTATATTATTTAATGTGCAAAGAACATCTTAATTAACTGGACCATCAAAGTTAATTAATCAAATCAAAGTCAGGCTAAGCACTCACTGCTGACCCATTTCAGCCAAGAAACGTCCTTGAACTTGGCTGCAAAGGCCAATGCCAGATTTAATTCAGTATGTAGAAATTCATTTTAGATGTCCGTGAGGACTTGATTTGAATTGGTCTGCTGTTAATAGCACGCATATTCACGTCTATAAGTTAAATATATATATACACATATATATTATATATACATATATTCAAGTGCATGAGCAGAAAGTTGGCGTGTCCCTTAGAGAGTTGAAGAATAGCCCGTCAAATGAGTTAATATGTGTGCGGCGAAAGTTTATTAGAAATGTTTGTAATATGTTACTTGTGTCTATGGGTCATCATATTTACATTGAAAGTTGCTCAATTTGAAAATATTTCAGCTGGCAGACATATTATGGAAACAAATTGACAAAGTTTACCATATTTTCCCCAAGTGCGTTTGACATATGCACCCAGAGAGTTCAAAGGGGCGACAATTCCCAAAGAATTGTGAATATATATTTAAGCAAGTGCCTTAAGCACTTAATAAAAGATTTGGCAATTATATTTATACATATATATAAACTAGTTTTATATTGTATTTATCATATTGGCATTGATGTGAGCTTACGTCAGACCCCCCGAAATTGTAGATTCGATTCAAGATAATGACTGTAAAATAAAGCCATAAAACAAAGTTTTAAAAATAGACGCAGATTAATTTATTTACTAAAACGTACAACCTAATCTATATAATCACATTTGATCGAATTTCTTCATTATCTCAATAACTGGCTCATTCAAATATTTGCGAACCTCCTGGTTGAGGGCAAAGTCCCCGTGATCCCACAAGGGATCCTCCATATGGTGCAGCTCCATGTTTGGCAGTCGATCTGACAGGGCGAGAACATCCTCGACAGCGGCCATATCATCATTATCGGAATACCATAAGTGGACCTCAGAGCTTATGTTCTCAACTGGATAGTCGGGTGGCACCGCCGATTGGTATATTTCCTGATTTTTTTTAGGCCCGTAGTCATACTGACGAAAATGTCCCGACTGCTGCTCCTGCAGATAGTGTAGCATTTGATTGGTGGAGCAGCCGGCCGGGTGCGTGGCCATGCCGTCCGGCATAGCAGTCTGTTCAATAAATATACATGGTAAGGATTTACTTAGAACTTTGATCTCCGATTTCTCTTACCATATTCACACGATTCCCAGCGTACAGCTTTTGCACAACATTTTCGCAAACGGGCCGCAATTTGTAATCGGGCTCGCACAGGTTGGAGAACAAACTCAACAGGAAATCGTTGCTCGGTACGAATTCTTGATCAGCAAAGAAGAGCGAGTACTCATTCCGGTGGCCCAGATAGGGTCCCACAGTGCGCACCAATTTATTCTCCATGTGCGTCATAATGGCAATGGGCGCAAACATGTGTGCTGTCTTGATCTTTGCGTTGTATTCGGGTCGCAGGGACATCAGGGCGAAGAAGACAGTTGTGCCCTGGGAGTGGCCCACATAGTGAATGGCCTTCTGTCCCTGCCCATTCGTCTTCAGGGCGTAATCGATCATAGCTGCAATATCAAAGTACCCGATCTCGTGCCAGCTGAAGCGCCAGAAGTACGGATGCTGAGGGGAGCGCGATGTGTGGTTCCTTGAATAGGTGTTACCACGCCCATTGCCCAGCCAGACATCAAAGCCGGCATCAGCGAGCAGGAAGGGCAGACTATCATCTGGACCCTGGAGTATCCAAGCATCCGAGCAACTTGTCAGTCCATGTTGAACCAGTACAACGGGACGTATCTTATCCTGGTTCTGCAGCTTGTGAGAATAGGGTATGCGAAAGACGCCCACAATGTAGCCATCCTCGGTGACAATGTGGTGGTGTTCCGCCGGATATCCATGTGCAGCTATACGATCACGCTGGAGGATGCTTGCACGTGAAGATCAAGCAAGGATAAACGAATTTCAGAGACTTACGGTTGTGCGTCGATCCTTTAGGCTTATATGGGCTTCCGGATTGTCATACAGCTTATAGAAGTCGATTTTGGGTATCGCTGCACTTACAGCTGCGCAATTTATTGCAGCCACTAAACCGATCAATGTGAAAGTTAACGAAAGCAAATAGTTCTGCATTGCTAAGGGTCTGAAATGTGACTGTAGCCAGCAAACAGTCGAGTAGGTTTTTAATAGGAATTATCATCAAGTGGTCTCAGATTAACGTGAAGACTCTCAAGAGTACAGAAAATAAACAAAAGTTATTTGCAATAAAATACTGATTAAATAAATTTACTCCAATTTCAAGTTACTTTTAATATTTCTGAATTCATTCATTAATGATCAACGTACAACAACTATTTTATATGTAATATTTTCACTTTAAGTATTCCATTTATTGGCAAATAAAGTTGTAATTAAGTGGCAATTCCAGAAAATATAGGTATTATTCGTGGAAATAACATGCCTATCTAATTGACGTAGCATAACTTATCATTAATCGCTCTTATTAGCTTTCGCATGGCTTGTATTAAAGCTACTAATTATAGAACTGATTGAAAGCCCACACATGACGATTGTGCATTATGGAATTTTGTATAAGTCGATATTAGAATAGAAAAATGCTCTATATATAATTTAGATATATAAATATATATTAACTGTTAATTGATAAGTAATGCATTATAAGTACATGATCTCATACTCTTTAGTTCTTACAATGCCATAATCTTATACTCTCAATTCGTACACCTTTAAGCTTCAACTATACTGTTTTACTCCTCCATATTATACTGTTATGTCCGCTCTATTAAACTCATCAAATTAACTGTTAGTTTACTCTAATACTCTTACTTATACACTATACTTATACACTCTTTCTTATACACTAGTGCCTCTACATTCTAATCCTAATACTTTTATACACATACATATAATCTAAACTCATGTTAATATGCCTGTAGACTCATGCTCTTATACACCCACACTCATTTATGCCATGCATCCCTGATTTTCTCTAGATTTGCTCTACATTCACTTCATCGGTTAATTAGAATAAATAATAATAATAAATATACAAGAAAAATTACAATTTAATTTTTAGAACTTTCAAATTTCTTCATAATCTCAATAAGTGGATCATTAATAACTTTTCGAAGATCCATGTTCAAAGCAAAGTCGTCGTGATCCCACAATGGGTCATCCACAAGATGCAGCTCCCTATTGGGCAGGCGTCCAGCCAGAATATGAACATCCTTCACAGCAGCCATTATATCATTCTGTGCATACCATAGGTGGACTTTTGATGTAATTAGCTCGACTGGGTAGTCTGGTGGCTCCACTGATCCATACAATTCTCTATTCATTTTGCTACCATAATCGTACTGGCAAAATCGCCCTGAACGATATTCTTGAATATAATGTATTATTTGATTGCTGGAACATCCCGCTGGCTGATGACCAATACCTTCTGTCATGGCAGTCTATTAATTGGAATCGTCTAAGAGATGTGCATTACGAAGGCTGACTTTTACTCACATTATTCCAGCGAGTACTGTTATAATACGATTTAATGAGATACACACAGACTGGCCGAAAAACTTGGTCACGTCCACATAGATTGGCGAAGATACTCAAAACATATTTGTTGTACGGTAAAAACTCCATGTTCTCCATGAACCTCGTGAATGCATGCTGAGGATCGCTCAAATAGGGTGATAATTTATGAACCAATGTATATTCCATATTGGACATCCATGCAACGGGAGCCATCAAGTGCGCTGTCTTGATCTTCGCATTGTATTCGGGACGCATAGACATCAATGCAAAAAACACTGTTGTACCCTGAGAGTGACCTACATAGTGGATGGCCTTGTGTCCCTGACCGTTGATCTCTAAGGAGTAGTCGATCGTGGCCGCAATGTCATAGTACCCAATTTCGTGCCAACTAAATTTCCAGAAGTGCGGGTTTTCTGCGGACAATGAAACATGTCTTCTTGAGTACGTATTCCCTCGACTATTGCCGACCCACACGTCGAAACCGGAGTCGACCAAGAGGTAAGGCAAAGCATGATTTGGGCCAGTAAAAAACCAAACATCAGAGCCACCCATTAGGCCGTGCTCAATGATCACAATCGGACGGGTCTTTCCCTGGTTGTTTAGTTTGTGAGAATAGGGTATGCGAAACACACCCAAAACATAGCCATCCTCGGTGATAATGTGATGGTGCTCTACCGGATAGCCGTGACTAGATATGAGCTCCTTCTACTTAATATGTCGTTAGGAACTGAAATATGGATGCTTAAGGACAAGCACATACCGTCGTGGAAGCCTCGTCTGCACCAGTCATAAACTCTGCAGTTTTATACAAAGTTTCGTAAAGGACGTGAGTTGCAGGGATATAAAGAGCAGCACTGTTTAAGCCAACAACTGACGCAGCCAATAAAATTACCGCCGAGATGAAGTAGTCATGCATTATGTAACGCGTCAACTACATCTGTGGTTAGCCAATCATTGGACGTCCAACTCTGTTTGATTGGCTCTGCTAAATTTATCATCAAGGGATCTTCGATGACCCGGAAAATCTGTATATGAAAGTGATCAATAAATAAATAATGAAACGGTTCCCTTTACCTCGGGAACATGTTACAGTAAAAGTTAAATTTAATAGGAGGAAATAAAATTTAGATTTAAATTATAAATAAATATTAAATAATGTCATTATTGCCCTAGATAGAGCTCCATTTTTATTGAAAATTCTACACCCATTTCCTTAATTCATAGTTTTTTAATTACACATTCGTAGTTGATACTTGCCCACATGACGATAGCCCATTAAGCATGGATTGCAACCTTGCACGAAACTTCGTTAAAAACAGCGTTAATTTTGTTAAGCTTACAGCCAGAAGGCAATTTTAAAACGCTCGATTTCTGACGTTTAAAGCGCTAGCTCCTGATAAGGATCTTGTAAATAATTCAAAAAAATTGAATTGAGTTCTGTAACTAGCGGGCAAAAAGACCAAACAGTAGCATTTGAAAATAGAACTGAAAAAACATATTTGCATTGCCATTTGATTTGGTTTACTAAAACAGCAAATGTACATATTAAACAAAACAGAATAAACTAAAACTAAACTATGACTAATCCTCGCCAGGTGGCAATGGCTGGTTTAAGTCCCCTAAAACGGGCGCCGGCACTGGCTGAGGTGCGGGTACGGGCTGTGGTGCAGCAACTGGCACTGAAGTCAAAACGGGAACGGTAGAAATAATGTTCATCTCTGAGGAATCCACCAGCTCCTTCTTGATATTGTCAGGATTTATGTAGCCACCGCTTTCGTCCTGCAAAATTAAAAAAAAAAATAATAATCAAACACTTTAGAATATGATTATTAATAATAATTCATTAAACTAACCGTCACAAATACATCAACCGATTTGCCGGTAATAATATCCAGTATCTGCTGAGTGATGCCGCTCATTGGCTCGTCTTGAATGCTCTCTGCGTATTCAAGCAATTGAGGTCTGAGGTCCGGGCACTGCTGTAATGCGTCTGCCAATTGTGGTGGGGGAAGCTGAAGCAGTACGGGTAGAGACTGCGGCTTGAGGCGCTGCACAGTTTTAAGGAAGCCCTCCCAGATGACCTTTTGGCGCCACACTTGCTTCAGTATTAGGCGCTGCAGCAGATTCAGTACAAAGTTTGAGAGACGCGGCCACAGCGTCAGGCTCTGTATGGTGGTGCGCATCATGAGCGTAGGCACAGGCATTATCTCAACCAGTTGCTGCAGCACTGCCATCAACACTTCTTGGGTGTACACCTCACGCTCGGCTAGGCACAGTGAAGTGGCCTTCACTATTGACTTTAGATCCCACACATTAGTATCGATTGTGTGGAGAGCTACTAGCAAATCTGTCGGTGATATCGCCATCTGTTGGTTAGCAAACTCGGCACCAATACCAAGCAAACGATTAAAGACCTCTTTGACAACAGCCTGATTGAGCTTTATTAGCTTGGGCAACACAGCGATTAGCTCAGAGCGCGATAAACCACTCAAAATGGGTATTAGCACACGCACGTCCTTGACTTTGTTTTGGTAGAGATCACGAACGCGCTGAACTAGCTCTGGATGTGGCGTGGGCACGCGTTCAGTCAAGATGTAAATAACGCGTATAACCAGCGTTTCTAAACCCTTCGGACAGTCTTCCAACAGCTTGAGCAACGCTGGAGACTCTACGCCCAGCTTCTTAATAGGGGCATCCAGGCTGCGTAGTATGGTCCGTTTTAACTCTGCGGATGTCTCCATAAACACTTGACAAATCTTCTCCAGATAAACTAAAAAGGAATGAGTTACGATTTGTTGGACATGGTGCTCTCTCATAAAGCTTACCTTCCGGATTGTAGGGCAACAGTGTGAGGGCCAGGAGCAGGCACACCTTGGCAGTATCTTCTTTCCAAGCCACCTCCGGGGTCGGCCTGCCGTAATCTGCTGAAAATATGGCAATTGGTGGTGTTTCTGCAACCACAAATTCTAGCCACTCCAAAGCGAACTCATCAATGCGCGCTGGAACAATCTTGTGCACATGATAAATGCTAATCAAGTGACCCAAAGCACGTTCCCGTAGATCGGCGCGCTCATGCACGGCATAATTGAGGAGTACGCGTACGAAACGATTTTTACGCGGAGGTCTTAACACCGCAAGATCCTTGACTATCTCCAAGCCATGCGGCATGAACTCTTCGATCAGGCATAAGTTAACCAGCTGCACAATCGCCTCCTCGGGCAGTATGGGAGCCTCTAGAAAGAGACGGCGTAGCAAAATGATTCTGTCCTTATATTCGCAACGCTCATTGATGCCACTAATAAGCTTATTCAATAGTTCATTGTAGGCATGATCTGGACTATTCTCTGTCTTCACATACGTATGACGCGTAAAGCCTTGCAGCAGAGAGTATTCCTCAAAAAGCCAAGAGAAGGCCAGATCTATGCGCTGCTTGATATCAGCTAGTATAAATTCCATGATGCTATAGCGCACATTATCGGGAAACGTGGCCGCAATAACAGTCACTAATTTACGTCGCTTGGCCGCCACGCCGCCCATAATGCACTGCCGTTCCGAGTTGAGGATTCGTATGATGGCATCTAAGAGGAACTTCTCTTTAGTGTTGCGTGGCAGGGGCTTGGTGATCTCCTGCAACTTGAGCGTCTTGGCGCGCTCTTTCATTCGCTCAATGACCGTCTGTTCGCCTTTGGAGCGTTCCATGGTCTCGCGTAGTTTCTTCGTCGCTTCTTCTTTGCGCTGCAGCTCCTGTTCACTTAGCTTGCTTTGCGCATCGTCCACATCCATGGCTAGAGGCTCTGCGTCGGCAGTGGCAAGACTAGACTGAGTCTTTGGCTTCATGGGCGGCTCTTTGCTGAATGCAGCCGAGCCGGGTCCCATGCGCATCTCCGTCAGCTGCTGCCCAAACAGATGGGAAATGTTGCTTACTTGTTGCGGCAGTGACAGTTGCTTGATGGGCGTGTACTCTGCCAAGAATTTTGGAGTTGCCGCATCCGGTAGAGCAGGTAAAAACTCAATAACCAAATTCACAACTGTTTCCGTGGAACGTAAGTGCTCTGCAAGAAATTTTTCGTTGACACGCGTACTCTTCTGACGCTGCCTCTCTAGCTCTTCCTCATCAAGTTCCATTTCTTGCGGCTGGTGCTGCTGTCGATCCTGCTCGACCAGACGCGCTTTTTTAGCCAAACTCTGCGCCGCATTTTCTAGTATTCGCTTCTGCCTGCGCGCCATCTCTTGCTTATCCATTTTTGGCAGCAATTTTTGTATCTCACTCGCACTAGCTCCCAAATCCATCAATATATTACGTATTGTTCCGGCAAACTCGAATGAGCCGCGCAACTTGAGAAGCATTTGGAGCTGCAGGCGCAAACTCTTTCTAACCGAACTAACTTGAGAGTCGGTCAATGTGGGCGGCAAATTGTTGTTCAGCTGTCGAAACGCCTCAACAACAGAGCCCATAAAAATGGGCCGCATTTTTGCCACTGTGCATAGACTGCTCGTACAGGCAATGAGATTCACCGACGAGATGTGCGTAGTTCCATGGAACTGCAGCATAATGTCAAAGATATTAGTGCCTTCGTCTTGCAACTTTTGACGCCGGATAAGTTTGCAGTGTTCCGGCACATCGGCCAGCGAAAAGTCGCCCTCTCGCTTCATGCTGTCCTCGTCCGCATAACTTTGAAGTATGATGACGCCCTCTAGAAATTTGATGGCATTCGTGCGTATGCCGTCGTTTTCATTATCAATCATGTCCAGAATTTGAGCCTTTATCAAACTTAACACATTCCATGCTTGCTCAGCACTGTCGCTGGGATCAGTTAAGCTGCATAGATATTGCAGTCCGTTTTTATAGATGCTGCCACAAGCCTGGATAACACGTTTAATGACTTGAGCTGAACTATCTCGCAACATCATAGATATCACATTAATCACATAGGGTAGAAGCTCCACTTTAACCTTACTGAAAGCGAAAATGATTATACTTTGTGTAATTATATATTTCAAGAATATGTACCCACCATATCTGTTCAATAAAAGAGACCACTTGCTTGCGCACCTCTTGGTTTTGATCGTGTGCCAGTGAGAGCACCGGCTCCAAGAATTCCTCTGCCAGCTCTACACACGAACTTAGCACTATTTCCTGCACTTTAACCAGCAGCTCACATTTCAACGTAGCATTTGCTGTCACGAATTCATTGCACCATTCCACAACCTAAGAGGAAAAATAAGCAAAGTTTCAAATAACATGAGCGCATCAAATTCAACAAGAAAGCATCTACCAACCTTTGCACGCGCTGTTGCCGTTTTTTCATCTGTAAAAAGATTCGCAGTTTCTGAGACAAACTGGCTGCGTCCAATTATACTATCCATGCTTAAAATTTATATTAAATAAAATATAGTGAATCTTTTACTATTTTCAAATGCCGCAAGTGCAAGCTGACAGAGCTCCCAGATTTCGATAGCGCTAGTGATGTGCTATTGCACTAGCGATTAATTTTCTAGTCAATGTCGTTGTTTTCAGTTCACCCCGTCTTGAAGAGCGAGAGCTAGAGAAATATTAGGTTGCCTCTCAGCCTTTTGAGAAACTGCATAGGTACAGGCCAAAAACCATAACATTCAATATATTTTGTATTTATTAAAAGCTCAATAGAAACGATATTCTCTTGCCCTGCATCATGACTTGTGTGACGTCATATTCTTATTCTTAAAACGCTATCTTCTAAACTATATACTCGCTTTCAACAGTGCATACAAAACATCGTAATAGCGATACATCGGTTAATAATTATCGATTGCATCGATGCATCGATTTACTCACATTTTTTGGGTGTTTTAAAAGCGTGAAAAAAACGCCTAAACAAGCCAAAACGACCGCACATCAGGACCAATAAGCGCAGTTAGTTAATTATTTTAGCTGCTGCACCAAAAGGCATTGACAGTCGAAGGCACAAACGGCGAGAAAAGAAGGTTCAGCAATACGGTGTGTTATTGAACAACGGCTGAAGAGTCATAGGTAGTGCAAGAGAAG